TCTGTAAACAATGTCATTACATATCAAATGTAAACAATGTTATTACATAAATAGTATCAGAGGTAGAAATGTACATTGTGATATGGTAGATGTATCAATACAATATAAGCATACTCTTATACAAAAATAGAGGTAGGAACACTCACATTCAATATTCAATATGTCAATATACAGGAAACAGTACCAATACAATTTTCTAAAAACAGTAACTCACAAATACCAATCATCCCATCAAACCAGTTAATCCCCTTCTTTTTTTTTAACATACCCCTAATTCCATAAAACATCTCCCCATCCCCTCAACCACAAACCAACCACGAAAAGATGTCCCTAACCCTGAGGGCAAACTCTGTTGGGAGAGGGGACGCCGTCCTCTAAGATTGCTTCAAGCTGACATGGGGGCGATGTTCTCCTTAGGGGCTCCTGTGAAAGCAAATGATGGTAAAATTCCCAAATTAACCTTTGACGTAAGAAAATTATAACTAGTCCCTGAGCGCTTTGAGAAGGTCCGGCCAGAGTGTTGTCAAAAATGTGCACCATTCGAAATTGTCTCGTGCAGTTGGTACCAAAAAACAGGTCTCATATTAGCGCGTAAAAAAGAAAAAAAATATTATGACATCATAAAAACTAGGTTGAGTTGATGTTGTGGGGCCCCATCTTGATCCTGGAAACTTCAAAAATTACTGTAGGAAAATTTGTTGCTTGTTATTGGAAATTTAGACACCCTCAAAAAATTACTTCACTCAACTGCCAACTGAGATGACCCTGGCACACAGGTTACACCATGAAAGATCTAATTAACAGTGCCCCCATTCAGCAGGAAGCAGTTTGGAGAGAAATAACTGCACCCATATTCCCAAATATTGTTTATAACTGTTCTTTTACATTTAAAGGGGGTATGATATAGATATGAATAATTTGCATTGGTATGGATTTTATGGTCAATTTTGTTATATGTATATGTATTTCTGATATTGATTTAGGTATTGTGATTGTGTAGTTCATTTTAAAATGTAATGTATAATTAGGAAATATAGGTTGCTAATGGATAATCATCGATGATAGTAAAGCTTGTAGTCATGTTAGTTAGATTTTCTAGATATATAGAGATATATTTCAGTTAGATAGGCATTCTTCATATCTTTCAAAGACTGCAGAATATGGCATTTTAAATGTTTTAATAACTTAGGGCTTTTCATGACAATGAGACATGTCTGCTCCTGGCAGCACC